TTGACACTGACTTGATGGCACATAATCAATCAATCACAACCCTAATATTAAGTTGAAGTGACTGGAGCTATCCAGAGTTGAAATGAGGATGGGTGAAGAGACTTTTCACATCTGTCTTTTCTTTTCTGTTTAATATTTCCCTTCTAATGTCCATCACTGAAAAGAGGAGAGTTAGACCAGTTCTTGAGCAGATATAACTTTTTGTCATGTTTTGGGATATAGAGGCTGTACAGTGCATAGATATCAAGACCCCATCATATCTCCTTTGGAAGTTTTCCATAAAGGGGATTTCCTTCTTCTTTTGGAAGGAGAGAACATCAGAATTTGGTGGAAAGGCAGGCACAGTATAAAGATACTATCTGAATTCATCCCCTTTGACTTCAGAGAAAAGAAACTGGCATACTGTATTTTATAGCTGTTTAAAAATACTATTCTAGTCACTATGAGAATGTACCCAGATCTGATCTGAACTTCTGAACTAAGGTTCAGGTCAGAACAAAGATCAAAACTATTTAGAATAATAAGAATTATATACTAAATAATATAAAATGCACCAGGCAGAAATTCATTTGGTGTATTAGTACCAGATTTGGTACTTTAAGTTGGAGGAAGAAGTATGATTTGTACAAGTAGATTAATCACAATTACATCAAGAGGTGTCTCTTTCAAACCATTAGGAAGGTGGAAACCTTCACTGTTTGATTGACAAAAATCCCTGAAAGATCAATACAAATCGTGAATTTGTTATTGTCTATGAGGGTCAGGCAGATCTCTTGTTCTTATTTTCCATTTAGGGGAAATGAAAACACTTATGAAACTTAAAATCATATGGTAGGCCTTATCATGTGGTGGTGGGGAATAGGGAGACTGTGGATGGATGCTTGGCATGGAAACTTTAAGCCACTTTTTCAGTTCCCCAAATGACAGGTCACCAGCATGGAACATCATCTTGATGACCTTTCGCAGGCCTGCCCACATATGCTTGCTTGTATGTTCATTCCTTACCCATTCAGGTTGTGTGATGTTATCACTTCCTCCTTGCTGTGTGCTTGGTGTTTGGTGTCTTCTTTCTTCTGAGGACAAAGGAAGGCAACATAAATGAAAGAAAGGCACTAAAACCCGAACAAGGAAGAAAGACCAGCAGACATACACTATGTTGCAGGCATACCCATGGCTATCAACTAGATTAACAAGTTACAAATGTTTTGTAGGGTAGAGGTGATGTGTAGATTGTGAAGCCACTGTTTTCTATGTGCATGCTGTTCAAAGGATGCTTATTTTTCTTCTTCTCCTCATAAATTGCTATACTCCAGTCCAGGGCTTTTTTTGTCATAGAACGTACTGGAACAGAGTTCTGGCACCTTTTTTGACAGATTTTTCAAAGTTGCCTTGAACAAACTCCTGGTCTTTTAGATACACTAAAAATTGAAGGGTTTTTTTTTCAACTACAAAGGTAAACCTTGTAGGGTAGGCAAGGCGGATTGTATGATGTGTGTGAGTTCTGGCACCTTTTTTTTTTTTTTTTTTTTACAAAAAAAGCACTGCTCCAGTCCCATGTTTATGAAACTTCTGCCTTAATTTTTTAGTTCACAGCTTAATGGAAACAAAGCCCCAGATAAGGACTGCTCACTTATACTCTAGTTTCCTTCTGTTCTACTCTCTCAATATATCTCTCCTACAAGCAACATTTAAATTCCAAGGTTGGATTGACTTTTATACTGGTGCAACAACAGAATCTTATATGCATGTGTGTATGGCTATACTGCAAATGAAGGTAAATATATGTGTCCCTGTATAATGTTGTAGAATGTTGTACCGTACATACAAACATATCAGAAGTCTCAATCAGACAAGAAGGAATGTAAATTTTCCTAACCTTTTTCAGCATTTCTCTATATTTCAAATGATTTCCCTTCCATGGTTTTGAGTGACACAGGTTCTTTACTTATAATAGTAATGGCCCAAATATCTGAAGGACTGGGCACGTCAAATTTGGGGAGAGCCTGTTTTTATTTTAAACATCCCAATATAGAACTTATGATCTCAGTATCTGCTGGGTAAAAAACCACAACACACCTAGTTCAAGGTCAACTAATGTTGCCTTATTTTTTCCAGAGACAGAACAGTGACCGAGCACTTCATTCCTAAGACAGAAATATTTTCTACTGGGTGGTCTGTCTAGGCCATCCATTGGAAACTGCAGAAGAACATACACTGAGGTTGAATCTATCAGAAAATTGCCATCAAAAGAGGGAACAGAATGCCTCTGAATCAACACAATGTTAGGTTTCGTAAATATCACCAGCCCTTTGGCTTTTGCAAACGTATCTATTTAGACTAGAAGAAGTATTTATGAAGGGAGGAAACTGTCTTGCCCATACCACCCAGTGCGATTACTATTAAAAATACCAAGCTTTCATTTTTGATTGTCTGTAACCCCTGAAGGTTAGCTGAACAATGGAATCCAAATGTTTTCTTGAGCATGTTGTTATGGTTGGATTTACGAGAGAGCCCATCTGCAACTGTCCACCCTTATAAGAGCTTTGGAAAAGCAAACAGCCCATTTTCCCAGAGCAAATAGTATACAAAGTAGAGCACAATTAAACCCACTGTATCCATCTGTTTCAACCGGTTGTGATGAGCAGTTCCCAAAAGTATTCTTCAGTCTTTGTTATTTTTAAAATTAATGAAAAAATAAAATCTATATACCTTTTATGCTCCCATCCATCATTACAATATTGATTGTACAGACGGTCTATGTAACTCAAAAAAGAAAGCACGTCTTAAGCTTAGGAAGCTGTCTTGGACCAATGAGCCCATCTGAGCTGCTACTGACTCTGACTGATGGGGCTTCTCCAGTTTTACAGACAGAGGTCTTTGTCTTCACAAATTGTTTGACTCTGTTCAATACAATGTCTGGGGTTAATCCTAGGGTCTTTTGAGTCAAAACATGTGCCCTAATTCCTCTCAAAATGTCTTGGTAATAACTTGCCTGTTGTATTAACAACCTTAGCATGCTGTTAAAATGGCACATTCCAAAGTTTGGTAGGATCCATGTAAGATGGTTTCACATTTCAAGGCTTAAGTTACTCATTTTCCCATAAGAACCAGTTTCCTCATTCTCCAGCATGATTGGATGGAGAATCCACGAATGGGTTGTCTTAATCTTCCTGCTCCAATAAGACTAAGTCTGAAGTGTAGAACCGCCTCTGCTGTGCCATCTGCACCCCAGTTTAGACTTAGCCTCACTGCTCTATAGATGCGTTTCTTCAGCTCAGTTTGTATAGCTAATTTCCTATATCCCTTCCCTTATTTTTTGAATTTTAGATCATATTACTCATCCATTTTGGAGAAAAAGACTGTATTAGCTTTCTCCAGATGCCTGCCTGCCCTCTATGGCTGACTGGGGAATTCTGGGAGTTGAAGTCCACAGGTCTTAAAGTTGCCAAGGCTGGACACCTCTGACCTACGTTCTTCCTTTCCTCCCATGGGTGAAAGCAGTACTCTAATCTGTTATATGGACTAGAAGCAATGTATGGCTTCCTGACCTTTTTTTATCTAGATATATGGGCCATAATTCAAAGAAAAGCTATCTTCTCTTTAGAGACAAACTTCTCTAACATCTAGAATTTCTTTTATTCTCTCCTTTTCATTTTTTAGTTGTTGTTCCTTTATCTTCGTCTCTGAATTTAGAATAGGGCCATGATCCTTCATCAGTAGATTAATTAACTAAATTTTCTTTATCAAATTAAAATTTTTATCTCAGTTGAACTATAATTGGTTAATTAATCAGAGCTCCAGGATCAAATTAGATATCAGTGACAACATCCAACTTGGATCGTGTCAACTCTAGCGATTAAACAGAATTAGGGGCTAATGGGAATAAAAGGCAGGTCTTCCCAGTTAATTATTTTCATGATAAAGTTTGTTTCCAGTTTTCAGATTCAGCTGAGAAAAAAACCCTAATAAAATAAAACAAAGTTGGGAGTGATATTTGAAGGACAAGCAGACTGAGATAAACTTAATATGCTCATATCCTATTAAAAAGATTTGATGAACAGATTCCTCTCAGTCTTTAGAGAACCTGTTCCTTTATTGAAGAAACTGGGAGGACAAAACATTGGTAATGTCCTTGAATTCTACTGTATTTTTCTCTTAAAAATGTAGATTTGTTCATAGGTATTTCATTTATTGATTTCATTTATTTTTATTTCAGTACCTTGTTATACAATAATAATTTTCCCAGCATATGCACCTTTCTGTACAAATTTACAATTCTGTAAATCCTGGGCCTCCTTAAGCATCACTGAATTTGGGGCAGTGCATCCAGATTTACTTGAAAAAAGCCGGTAATTTTCACATTCTTCAGTTGATTTTTATTGCTGAATTTCTACAGCACTGAAATTCAATTGGATTTTATCCTCATCAAATTAAATCACACAGTCACACGTTTGCATGTTTTTGGCTTTTCAGTGTCCAACCTGACTTCGAGAAAATAGAGAAATATATATAGGAGAAAGAGGTTTAATCATTTTTATTATCTCCACCATACAAAGTTGGCCATGCCCTTTTCAGAGCAAAGTACTGCACCTTGATGTAGGTGAGAATAAAAAATTCTCCTAGATCAGATTTTTTTGTCTTCTATTTTGTCATTTAGCTACATTTGCATGAAGTAAGCCTTCCTTCCTTCATTCCTCCCCTCCCTTCCCCTCCCCTCCTCCTTCTCTTCCCTCCCTCCCTCCCTCCCTCCCTCCCTCCCTCCCTCCCTCCCTCCCTCCCTTCCTTCCTTCCTTCCTTCCTTCCTTCCTTCCATTATATCTCGCCTTCATTATTTTTACAAAATAACCCAAGGTGGTGAACATATCCAACACACATTCATCCTCCTATTTTCCCTACAACAACAACCTTGTGAGGTGGGTTAGGTTGAGAGGGAGAGGGACTGGCCCAAAGTCACTCAGCTAGCTTTTATGGCTAAGTCAGGACTTGAACTCATGGTTTCCTGCTTTCTAGGCTGGTGCCTTAATGTCTAGACCAAACTGGCTCTCATTTTCCATTTCCTAGCATTAATTATTTTTTCCCAGCATCTTGTGGATGTTGTTTTATGGACACATTACAGCATTTTTCTTTTCCAAGACCTTCGTGGCTGTTTTATCATGTGCTCATCTGTGGCATATTTCTTCATTGCTTGTTTCTTTACTGTAGATGGTTGAACCTAAAAGGCAAAAGCTATCCATTACTTTTAATATCTTCACTGTCATTTTTAAGGCTGGTCATAGTTTGGTCCTCTTTATATTTAATTTTAGTTCCATACTTAGTGTATTTATGTATTTATTTATGTATTGATGAAAGGGAAAAAATATAAATGAAGCAAATTTAACAAAAGTTAAAATAGCTGAAAAATGGGAGGGAGGTATTTTTTTTCAAGTCATCTTTTCCCTCTGAGTCCAGATCCCTGCTTAGCTTAATTTTCAGCTTCATCAATGAAAATTCAGTGCAGAAATTTGCTGGAGCAAGCATGTGACAGCTGCTGACAGGCTGTAAAACTAATTATCACTTTTGTGACTTATGACTGATAGGGCCATTGTTCACCTTGCAGAATTATATTATTGTATAACAATATTACACAGCATATATGCAGACACAGATTGTGAATACCAATAATCTACCCTGCTTTCATTAACACATTTGCCGTAGTTTCTATTCATTTGACTCATCAGGCAAAATATACACATATTACACATTTAAAATGCAAGTCATATGTTTTCAATAGAAGAGAACCACATCCCCACAAACATTGTCTGGGCAACACTAGCAGGCCAGGCTGCTGTATATAAACAGGGAGAAAACCTCATACTCACTAGCACTGATTATATTACCTAGTTGGGCAATGAAACGTCTGCAAGGAATCAACCAAGTTCAGAGAGTACCAAGAACTCTAAGTCAAATCCTTGGGGGGGGGGGTAGAAATAATTTTTCTTTTGCTAAGCAAATAGCCAATTATTTTGAAATAATAAGGTTTTAAACTATATGCACATCTGTCCATAGTTCTATCAGTGCATCTAGGGACAACAGACTTAGGAATGGATAGTCTAGTATACGATCAAAACAACAGCTGTTTTCCTGGTTCTTTCATTTTTCCAAGCAATGGACAATAAAACATTAAACTGGGGCTGAAACAACTGTGTGTTGGATGAGAAATACTAATGCTGCTTCCAAGTTGGTGAAAATTTTCCCCATGCAGCAACAGCTAAGCTCAAAGTAGAAGGCTTGCCATGAAATAGAAGGAGTTCTGGGTTTGGGCCACTCCTTCCTCAGACCTTATTGTCTGGAATAAAAAATAAAGCTAATTCTGATTTAGAGAGAATTTGGAGCCATGGCTAACTTAGTAATTTTAATACTTGCAATGATCACAGATTATATTTAAGATTTTCTGCTTTAATCCACTCGGTTTGCATCAAGTGCAATACAGTGTAGCCCAGAGGTCCCCAACCTTTTGGGTATCAGGGACCGGTTCCACGGAGAGAGGTTTTTCCACGGACCAGAGAGTGCGTGGTTTGTGTGCTGCCTGCATCCCATGAATGGGGCTTTGCTTGTTTGTGCAGCCTGGTTGCTGGCATGCCATGGCCTGGTACTGGTCCACGGACCAGGGGTTGGGGACCCCTGATGTAGCCCATAAAACAGAAATCTTGAGAACAGTAGTTTGACTTTTCCCAAATTGTGCCAGTTTCAAATAATATTGTGATGTCTTGACAATTGCATCTATTTTCTCTTAGTAGTATTTTTGAGCTTACTCTAATGGTGCAACATGCTACAGGTAGTCATCAATTTATAACTAGTTTAGTTTAGTTTAGTTTAGTTTAGTGACCGTTCAAAGTTACAATGGCATTGAAAAAAGTGACTTATGACTGATTTTCACCCTTACGACGGTTGCAGCATCCCCATGGACATGTGACCAAAATTTGGATGCTTGGCAACTGATTTGTATTTATGACGGTTGCAGTATTCCGGGGTCATGTGATCACCTGTTGCAACTTTCTGACAAGCCAAGTCAGTGGAGAAGCCAGATTCATTTAACAACCCTGTTGCTAACTTCACAATTGCAGTGATTCACTTGAGAAATGTGGCAAGAGAGATCATAAAATGGGGCAAAACTCATTTAACAAATGTCTCACTTAGCAACGTAAATTTTGGGCTTAATGTTTCCTATTAGGTACTTTTGCACCCTCTGAAGCATCCTTGATATCCAGTGTACTTGACCAGAAAAAGAGAGAGCTTGTGATGGCTTCCCTTGGAGGAAGCCAAGTAGGCTGCAAAATTGGAGACATAATTGAATAGGATAATGCAATAAAGAAGTAAACATATGCATGTCAAGGTTCCGGCTGATGGAACCAAATAAATCAGAAATCCGAGGCTTAAGATTTCCTCAAAGAACATGTTTATTGGATACATAGTATCAGCACGGTCAAAAGTGAAACCTACTCTAAAATTCCCTCCAGGGATTCAGTTTGATAAAATGTAACAATTCCCTCCCTCTGCTGTGCTATTGATCACATTAGCTAATGAGACTAATTGGCAGGCTTCTTGACAGATCTTCCGTCCACCTTCCGGGTCTAGTAAGAATGGCCTTGGTTCCCATGGGATCATGCTATGTTTAGTCTAGCAAAAGTAAACTCTTCCTCTCCTCCTTTTTTCTGTGGCAACTTAGAACAACAAAGATGGCTTCAGCCAGGTTCGTTTCAGAAGTTGACAATGCATTTGCCTTTCAGTCATCTAATAGTTAAATATGCAAGAAAATCTTATTTTGCCATAAGAATGTCAGTGAAATTTTGTTCTCCATTGAAAAATAGTTCCAAAGCAAATTCTCTTTGATTAATGTATCAGATTTTTAAAAAATGGAGAATAATTTTTTGCATGGTATTGAATTTGCAGTCAATTGTTCTTCCAATATTATTCAATACCAATTTTGCCAGTTGTCCATTGTACATACTTACTCTTTTTCACATAGCATTATTTTTTAATGATATACAACTTTAAAGCATGTTTCTTACATGAATCATGTATGGCTCTACTCCATCTGCCTACCTCTGCAAATGCTTAGATATTAATTATATTCACTGAACCAAAATACAAGATTTATTCTTTTTATTTTCCTTGATTATATGGTTCTTCAGATACACTAAATAACTCTTGAGCATTTTGATTGGTTAACTTCCTTTTCTGGATGCAGTTCTTAAGCATGTAAAATTGAATATTGGATATTCAATATACTCTGGGTAAGAACAATAATGAAGCCATCCACCAGCTACCAAATGATTGATTGATAAATACATTCATTAATTTTCTGTGCAAACAGAGCAATGTATAAAACAGATTAAAATGTTGCTGTTATTAATGAAATAGTTTGTCAATAGCTCGGGATAAAAAATTATTTAAAAACTGTTCCTAGTTTTACATATTCCTCATTGAATAACATAGGCAACTGATATTTGTTTATTCATGTCAGAAGCATCAAGATTAAAATAAGGCATACTATATGGTATAAAATTTAAAATATACAATACAAGGTTGAAATATAGACAAGTTAAACAGATCTTGCCCAGAAAATAGCAACATTAATTGCATTCTATCGTGCTGCCATGAGGTCCTCAAGTATACACTAATCAGGGCACAAAGAGCAGATATGCATATGTGTTGTTGTCTACATGTTACCGCAATTGCAAATGACAGAAGCCACCAAATAGCCCCATGTGTTCAGAGGGTCTCTGGATCTTGTACTCTTATGTAGACTATTCAGTGATTTCCATACTTCCCAGCTTTTGTCAGACCCAGGAGTCGGCCCCTCCTTTGGTTCCATCCAGTGTTGGTTCTTTCCATTTGCTTTCAAATTCTTCAAATTCTTCTGTTGACTTAAGGAAGCTTTTCCTATATTTTAGTCTCTGCTGAGCTGGTTGTAGGCCATAGAGAGGATGTTGTCTAGATATTGACAATTTAAGCTTTTTCCTGTATGCTGCTGCTTCTCTGTGAAAAGCAGGCGGGGCAATGCCAGCTAGATGGTAGATCTTATCAATGTTCCCTATGGGCAATTGATGAGTAAATATTTTTTTCTGTATTTGGCATATATTTCACATATGTTTGATTTTACATTATCATTTTAAATGAGTTTTTGGTTTATTGCTGTGAACTTTGTTCAGGGGGATATAGGTACTCTAATGGAAGCCTACATCAGTCTGCATCTTAATGCATCTTAAATTGAGAAAGGAAAGAGGACTGACATGCTGTGATGTTGGATTAAAATGATGGAAGCCCAGGTTCAAAATCAGCCATGAAGTTCATTGATGAGTTTAGTAAATACTTGTAACTCGGTTGAACTCTAAGAAGGAAATAAGGGCAGAGAAAATGAGGCATGCCACTCTGAATCTTTGATGGAAAGGCAAAATTAATTAATTAATTTAGAAAGACTGTTTGATGTAGTGATTAAAGGCACCAGACTAAAACTGGGAGACCATGAGCTTTAGTCCCTCCTAAGCACACGGCCACCTCTGGTTTTCAGCCAATTAACAGAATAATAGAGTAGAAAGTCACCTTGGAGATCTTCCAGTCCAGCCCCTGTTCAACCAGAAGACCTTATACCATTCCAGACAAATGCCTGTGCCATCTCTTCTTAAAACACTCCAGTGATGGAGCACTCACAACGTCTGGAGGCAAACTGTTCCACTGATTAATTGTTCTCACGGTCAGGAATTTTCTTCTTAGTTCTCGGTTGGATCTCTCCTTGATAAGTTTCCATCCATTGCTTCTTCTCCTGCCTTCAGGGGCTTTGGAGTATAGTTTGACCCCCTCTTCTCTGTGATAGCCCTCAAATATTGAAAGACTGCTAACATGTCACCCCTAGTCGTCTCTTCATTACACTAGCCATACCCAGTTCCTGCAACTGTTCATCATATGTTTTACTCTCCAGCCCCCTAGCAATCTTGGTTGCTCTTCTCTACATTCTTTCTAGAATCTCAACATTTTGTTTTTGCATTGTGGTGACTAGAATTGGACTCAGTATTCCAAGTATACCAAAGCAGTATAAAATGATACTAACATTTCATGTGAACTTGATGCTATCCCTGCATTGGCTTTTTTGGCAGCTGCAGCACACTGCTGGCTCATGCTTAGGTGATTGTCCACTAGGATTCCTAGATCCATCTAATCTAACCTAACCTCACCTCACCTCACCTCACCTCATCTCATCTCATCTAGGCAAGAAGAAATCATTTCTAAAATCTTGCCAGGAAAACTGCAGGGGCTAGTCCAGGAAATCAGCAGGAATCAAGACTTCGTTGAAGGAACAAATACACCCTATTTTTTTAATGATGGACACAATTTTGGCATGTATCTTAGATATCTGTGCTATATTCTCAGAAGATGTGTTCCTTTGGAGTTAAATATATCATATTATGCCAGAAACAATTATAAAAATCCTAGATGAAATAGTTGGTAACTTGCACATTAGTAGGCTGATAAGCTTGATATAGGTCACCACTAATAGATAATTAATCCCTAATCCATATCTTTCACTACACTTAGTATAACCCAATCTGAGTTTCACTAACTGCAGAATTTATAAAGGACCATTGCCATTACAGAAATACCAAACATAATTTTCAGTTTCCAATCATATAATATTTATGGAGCTTTTGCTAATTTTTAGATTCCATGTTCTTTCTCAAGGAAATGAAAATAAACTTTCACAGGAAAATTGATACATACTGTATTTCTGGGCAATATATTTCTGGGCTTTAATATTATTTCTCATTTATTCTCTCTATATTCTTTTCCTAGAGCTGTACTTTCTACTTGGTCCATGGCCAGTACAGGATTGCTCACCACTTCCTAACGTAGTAAGAGAATAATCAAATCTTAGAGTTGGGAGGGAACTTGGAGAACTTCAGTTCCAACCATCTGCCCAATGCAGAAATTCTCCTGCCATGGGAGGGACCTTAGAGGTCTTCTAGTCCAACACCCTGCTCAGGCATTTCAGACAAATGATTGTCCAGTCTCTTCTTAAAAACTTCCAGTGTTGGACCATTCACAACTTCCGGAGGCAAGTTGTTGCACTGATTAATTGTTCTCACTGTCAGGAAATTTATTCTAAGTTCTGGGTTGCTTCTCCTCTTGATTAGTTTCTATCCTTTGCTTCTTGTACAGCCTTCAGGACAAGAATTTGATGCAGTAACACTCACAACTTCAGAAGGCACACTATTTTGTTGATTAATAACACTCATAATCAGAAAAGTCCTTCCTTGCTTTAAGTTGGATCTCTGTCTTCCACCCATCGGTTCTTCTCTTGCCCTTAGGTGGTCTGAGAATAAATTCATATCATCTCCCATCTGGTGTCTGGCTGCTGCCCTAGCCAGTCATTTTATCCTGGACCATCAGGTTGTTCTTTTGTCAATTACTATTCTTTTTTCTTAATAATCTTATAGTTGATCCAGCAATGGTCTGTTAAGTCAGTATAATATCCTTGTAGCTAGAAACTCGTGTGCTATTAAACTCTTACATCTCCCAAAGGAACCATTGCAGTTTCCCAGACAGTCCTTACTTTTGCACTCCTTGTCCACAATCCTGAAAATTCTTGTTTCCCTTTTGTTTTCCCTTTCCCCTTTTAAATGAATTCTTTAAGTTGGAAGAATAGGAAGTTGCTGCTTTGCTTCAATAAAGCTGAATTATAAAACTTCCCTTGTCAGAAATTTTCCATGGACCTACACAGGAACATAGGCACAAAGCAATAGCCTATATCCTGTTACTTTGATTATTGTAGAATGGAGTTACAGTGGGGGGGGGGGAACAATAGAAAGGTCTGAATTAGTGTCCAAGAAAATAATGGGCAAAATCTAAGAAAGCAAAAGAAAGTCACAGATACTAGTAGATTGATAATTGATTAATAATATGAATAGATATGATTATATAGTCACTAGATTTGGGGACATCTGACTTTTTAATGACCCTATTTAAAGGTTCATTTGAAATAGATTGTTGGCCCACTATGGTGCTTTACCAGTATTCTGGTATTGTCTTCTCCTTTTCCTTCATTTTCTCTTTCTCCTTCTCCCCTCCCCCCTACTCCTCCTCCTCCTCCATTGAGAGTTACACTTTCTGCACAGCCTGCATGTGATTTGATTATGTGCATGTACATGTCACTGTCAATTCTTAATTGTCACATTTTTTTTCCAGGAGGACATTCTGCATATTATTTCCCTTCAGCTATTTGTAAAGAAATCTTGTGCATTATTACTGATCTTCTGCTGAGAAACAGTGGACAAGACTCCCATTTTTCTGTAATATGAGAATAGAATTTAACATATAGCACCTTCCAATTTCTCTCTACAGAACCCTTTACAATGGGTGGATTTAAATAAAGCACAACATCATTGTTTGACACACATATGGGAAGAAATAGAAGATGTGTTTATTTCTTGCTTCTTTCAGATTGGAAAATGCCATTCTGTTCCTTCCTCTGCCACACATACGTACAAGATAATATAGCTTGCTTTTCCCCGGTGACAATTTTATTATAGGTAATCTTTTCGGAAGTAAATACTTTTTTCAGCATCGCCCTAAATTTTTCTCCTTAACTTTGAGAGTAAGCCCCTTTTCCCTCTTAAACTAGCTGACTGTTATTTATAATTCTCACCTTTGGTTTTGAAATAAATGTCAGGATGATGGATAGCCAACTTTCTCCCTTCAGACGTTGGGAATCAAGTTGGCAGCTGAAGGAGGAAAGACATCGGAATTAAGATTCAAACGGGGTTGCTAAATTAGATGGAGAAATATTTAACATGTAAAATGTCTTTATTATTCTGACATAATCAACAGGCTTCATTTGCATCCTCAAACTGTATCAAGTAACTTCGATCTGGATGACTTAGAAGTCACAACTCTCTGAAGAAAAGGGTCTTTCATAATCCTAATGATTGGTTATACTTTCAGAAAACGGTGACAGGAGGTCCTTCAATGTGTCATAGCTTAAAATGATTTGAGGAACTACCAGCTTATCTTCAAAGAGCAGATATATGAACTATCATTTTTGATTAAAGCGCTCCATTTTGAAATAGAATAAAAAGCATTTGCTCACTATAGCTATAATAATCTGTTTTGCATATATTTGCATATCTCTTTTACTGTCCAAAAGTTTCTCTCTCTGGTCCATTCTTTCTACAGTTAGGAACCTAGTTCAGACTCATCTGTATTAATAGCTGCAATTCACAGAAAAATACTTCGTAGTAAATAGTAGCAAGTCTCGCACATAAAAAAACAAAACAAGCTTTGATCTCCCTGTTGCCGCTGCCAGTAGTAGATACTATTATCTACTGGTAGATAGCAGTAAGCAACACACGTAAAAAACAAACAAGCTGTTGTGACCTCCATCTTGACTTTTTGAACATATCCTGCAGACAATCTTGGTAGCAAGTAAAATTTAGCATGTTTGGTTTCCACACAAGTGTTTTCCAATCATTTTCTCAGTATAGGTCAAATATTGTATTCTATATGATTGAACTCTTCCAGGTACCTTGCTGTAAGTAGATTTTTTTAAAACAAAACAAAACAAAGGTACATGTACCAAGACCTCAAATTTCAATAGTGATTTTTAAATTCAGATCTTAAAATTTTAGTTCAGGAACTAAAACTAGAAATGTAAGTTTTTTGACTGATTATAAAAAGGTAGTGTACTCCAGATCAGAGATAAGGATGGATTCCTGATCAGAAAATATGAAATGCCATTGCAGTAGGTAAGGCAGCTTCTGCTAATTTAATACAAAAAAATAATAAAAAGAGGTAAAATTTTAATCTAATTCCCTACCCTTACGTATTCCTTTCCTATTCTCTTACACATTCCCTACTCTTATGCTGTTCTCTATCCTTATGCATTATTAGCCAAAAGAACTTTAAAATATCTGCTGAGTTAAATGGTTGATTCCCAATACACCAAAATTATAAGTACAATCTTTGGAATTTCAAGAATGGGTTTTCCCAACTTACTAAAAGATATTAGAGCTGAACACGGGGGACTTTCCTCATGCTCTGGATCTCCCATACTTCAATCACCCAGGGTTGACTTGCCTCCAGCTTGTAGTGGATCTGATGTCCCATGATACAACATTAACTACCACTAGTGGAAAGAGAAGGAAGATTTTACAATGCATTGACCCAGACCGATACTGTATAATTTCTACTATGAAAAATTAGAATAATCCTTAAATCCTAGAAATAACATGATCAAGCTCTGGCATATTGAATTCTTCTTTTTCCCATTCTCTAATAAGAAACAAGATGCTCAATCATGCTGACTGAGAATTGGGTTTGGTATCAGCAAAGGGAAAGTACTTCATTACACAATACATAATTAACTTAGGGAAGCTGCTACTTCAAGATGTGGTGATAACCGCTGATATAAATGGCTTCTTAAAAGGGTCAGGGAAATTCACAGATTATGATTCAATCAATAGCTATTTGTTATGTTACCAAAGGGAACTTCCATGTTTAGAGGCAGTAAATGTCCACAAAGAACTGAATGTTGAAAACAGAAAATAGTCTTAAAAGCATACTTGTTAGTTCTGAAATGCATTGTCTCACTTGGAAAGATAACAAGAAACTAGATTGGTGTTTCTCAACTGAGGCAACTTTAAGTTCTCTAGACTTCAACCCCCACAAGTTGGGAATTGAAGTCCACACACCTTCGTTGTCAAAGTGAAGAAACACCGAACTAGATGAATCTTAATCCAATGCAATAAGGCAAGACTTATTTTTCATTTTACTTCTCTATTGTTTGCATTGCTTTATATTATGTTTGTTATATTTTATTGATTTGCCCACACTGGGCTTAGTTATGGGCCCATACTAAATAAATATATTATTATTGTTGCTATTAATGTATTATTAACCATATAGGAAGCCTTCTGCAATTTACAATGCATATTGTGGACATTTATTTATTTATTTAATATGACACCCATCTCACTCTCAAGCAATACTCTCGGTGGCTTCCCTGAATTGTTATTTATGGTCTGAGAAAGAATGACTGACCCAAAGTCTCCCAGTGGGCTTTCATGCCTATGGTGAGACTAGAACTCACAGTCTCCTGATTCCTAAACTGGTGCCTTAACCACCAGATCAAACTGATAAATGTATTCAGGAAACTGAATATTTAATTAAGAATGAGAGGGCTAAATATAAATTAGTAGAAATTCATGTCCTCTAGGTTGTGAATACCTATGAAAGTAGATTGGTGCACATTGGTGATAATTGGGAAATTGTGTAACAAACTGAATAAATACAATCCTGGGAGGTGGGCATTCTGTAAAGTGTCATGAATAGATGGATGGGACTGAGACAAGGGTATACACAAAAAGTGATTTGTCATATGAAGACCAAGGAATGAATTAAAATTGCAACCATTTGGTGAATATCTGCTTGGAAAAGGGTATGCTTTTACAGGATAGCATCAAATCTATTCACGTGTACATATGTCAAATGAATATAAATCTAAAAGCTTAAATGATGCAGTTGTTCCTGATGAAATATTGAGAAAATTAATGAAGGACGCATGAGTGTTGAGAAATTCTCAGTGTGGTAAAAGTCTTGTTCGTGTCAAATTTTGTTCATGTCAAGAGTAGATCTTGGCAGCGGGAGGGGAAATGGACATGGAAGAAAAATAACAAAAATAAAAAAATAAGAGCAAAAGCAAAAGGACTGCAGGAAGTGAAATTATGAGTCCTGCAAGAAAAAACTATGAGAAGACAGATTGATCTCCCAACAGAATGAATGGAAAGTTAAGTTTAAAAAGAAGATAGAGAAGATGCTTCAAACCAAGTGAAGAGAATTAAAAAAGATGTTGAGACTCTAGAAAGAGTACAGAGAAGAGCAACAAAGATGATTAGGGGACTGGAGACTAAAACATATAAAGAACAGTTGCTGGAAGTGGGTATGTCTAGTTTAATGAAGAGAAGGACAAGGGGGGACATGACAGCAGTATCCCAATATCTCAGGGGTTGCCACAAAGAAGAGAGAGTCGAGCTATTCTCCAAAGTACCTGAAGGCAGGACAAGAAGCAACGGGTGGAAACTAATCAAGGAGAGAAGCAACCTAGAACTAAGGAGAAACTTCCTGACAGTTAGAACAATTAATCAATGGAACAATCTGGCTCCAGACGTTATGAATGCTCCAACACTGGAAGTTTTTAAGAAGAGACTGGACAGCCACTTGTCTGAAATGATATAGGGTTTCCTGCCTGAGCAGGATGTTGGACTAGAAGACCTCAAAGGTCCCTTCCAACTCTATTATTGTTATTGTTATTATTAATTATGTTGTAAGTTGCAGCAGACATGAATGAAGTTATGCTAATGAAGATGTAAAAGTGCTTGGTGGAATGAAGAAGTAGAAAGATGCATATAAGAGAATGGTTGCTGCAAAAAAAAATGAGTATTGAAACAAAGATTCTGAAAAATGTGCACACAAAGAAAAAGACAGGTGCAAAGAATATAACCATACAGCTAAGAATGGGAAAGGGTAAAAGGAGCAAATAAAATGTTGAGTAATTTTGATGGATATTAAAATATTGTTCTGGAAAAAAATGAATAGAGCTGAACATGGAACTTCCAGTAGAGCAGATGAAATTAGAAATAAAACTGATGACTAGATTTGGAATTACACGGAAGTGAGGAAATAATGGGAAAATATTAAATATTTGGAAGGAAAGGTAATTTATTTATTTATTTAAATTTATTGCTCTCCTCTCAGGCCTTAAACAAATCATAAACATCAACTCAGATCTGGAATAAAAGGCAGATTTGCAAAGCTTTCTGGAATCTCAGAAGAGAGTTATACATTAACATATAAGTAAATAGGTAACTACAATGAACTAGTTAATGAGTTTTGATTAATAAGTTACTTTAAAACAAATGCTGTAAAAGCATGCAAGGATTTTTCAGATCAGAGATCAGCACACAATGCCACTCAAGCACAAATTCATTAATTGAATGGTACCAGAAATGAAAGACAAGCCTAAAACAGGCAGGAAAGAATCCATTCTACAGAGACTTATACAAATTGTATTTTATATGTAATCAGTGTAATAAAAATGTGATTAAATCATGGCAAAATATGTGTTAGTGATGTTAGACTGGTGAGTTAATGGGTGAATATTAGAGTTCAAAGAGGACTTAGAATGTATCTTGTTCAGATAATACTTTCCTAGAATGTCTAGTGTGATGAAAAGAAGGACTAGGGTCACATGTAGTGGTGTTCCAATATCTAAGGGGCTAAAGGTAGTCAACCAATTCTCCAAAGCACCTGAAAACAGAACAAAAAACAATGGATGGAAACTAATCAAGGATAGAAGCAACCTAGACAAACGATAAATTTCCTAACGGCGAGAACAATTAATCAGTGGAACAATTTGCCTCCAGAACTTTGTCCAGAGATTGGACAAACATTTGTTTGAAATAGTATAGGGTTTCCTGTCTGAGTAGGGGGTTGGACTAGAAGACCTCCAAGATTGCTTCCAAGTCTGTTATTCTGTTAGATGTTGGATGTCCTGGATTGAATCAACATCCCTTGGGTCTAAGTACTTCATACCTGAGCTACCAATTAACTTTCCTTAGAGAAAGGGAGGAATAAAAGTGAACTCTTAGGAGAAAGGGATGATTTTGCTAGCCTATCCTCATGCCTTCTTCTCCTTCATTGGTATTCAAAACAAGTGATAAAAGAAAGTTATAAATGTTGTAAGAATGTTGAAAATTTGTAATGGGCTGTAAGGAATAAACTTGAGACGCTGTGATGGCATGTGGGAAAATTTATGGGAGGATGGGTGAGGAGGGACTGGTCAGATAAGAGACAGCAGAGCCCACAGGTGGATAGTAGGGCAAGAGGTTCAGAAGAGATAGTCCCTAGGTTTTCAGGCTGTATCGTTAACGTTACAAGAATTGTACTTTCAGACTTGCAAGGTTTCATTAATGCAGCTTTACCATAAAGTACAAGTAGCTTATCTGGTTGTGTTTCTGTCTGATCTACTAGTAAGACTGACTGGAGCAGGAAGATGTTTAAAAGATGAAGATGCACAGTGATTGCTCAACGTTAAGAAAGGATGAGTTGCTGGGCACCATTGTTTTCAGGTAGCTAATATAGGGGAAAGTTTTCCAGTGATAAGCTATGCCATATAATGATAAAGTACCTGAACATGCATTAAACATGTGTAATTCCCAAGCTATAAGATGCATTTTCCTTTGGAGTTGCACCTAGCCTTAATTTCTTTCCAACTTCAGGAAGAAAGAATGAAGATGTCCCTCTGTAAACAAGCCTTCTGTGTTGGATTAATTATGATTTTGACTGTTTTTAATTGCATTATTATTGATCTTTTATTTTTATTTGTTAGCTGCCTTGAATAGAATGAACAGGTATAAGCTATAATAATCAACACATAAATAACTACTCATGTCTTCCCTTTGTTTTTTTTTTCCTTTATGGAAAATGAGCTGTGACTACTTATTAGGGGAAGCCTATATGATCACTCTTCCCTGACCTTCACTTTGCTTGTTCTTAAGTCTCAATGTTCTTCTGATAGTGACTGAGAAAGCAGGGATGTCTCGTTCTTAAGATATTGGGCTAAGAAGTTTTTTTGATGTTGTGTTGAAGTGCTACTCAGCTGTCCATAAAACCCATATCAGCATGACATGTGCTATCTCTGTTGCCAAATTTGCATTTATTATTTCTGTTTCCAGTCATTAAGAGTTAACTAACTTCCTTTTGTAGGAGGATGACAAAGCCTCACAAATTATTTATACCTTGAAGTTCTTCGTGAATGGTGTTGGAATAAAGGGTGTTGCTGTTGTGAAAGATGGAATGAAATTCTGAGGATAGAGATCACACATTATTAAAACTACTGTTGTTTTCCAGCTTACAAAAAAACTGAATAACAATAAAAAGGAAGATCTTTTATAAGGATTTTGAATTGTTGGGTGGGAAATCCTAGGGCTCTGATTTGCTGTCAGGATCTTGGGATTATAAAGGCACAACTGGAGATGTTTGATTGGGTAAGAAGGACATTTTATGTAAAGAAACATTAACATAAACATAACATGTTTTAGAGCAGTGTTTCCCAAACTTGACAATTTTAAGGCATGTGGACTTCAACTCCCAGAATTCCACAGCCAG